TACCGCGTGTTCGTTTCTCGATATTGGCAAGGTATATATAGGAGTTTGCATTCAGTATTGGCCAGGGGGCGCGATGGCAGTGAACACCGAACTAGCCACATGGCATTGGCCTTGTGATACATACGATTTAGGCGTTTGCTGCCGTCCATAATCCCCCGGCCAAACATTTTTTGTTCACCAACAATATGGATTTTTTGTAAAATATGAAATATATTTTATTCTTTTTGCAATTACGGTTTTTGTACTATGCTTATGACTTAGATTTGTCATATATATTATTGTAATACATTAAGAGTATTGTAATATTTAGGGTATTGCTCCGGTCGGTTTTTTTTTTTTGGCGTTTTAGACCCAAAAGCCAGACAAAATTTCGTCTACTTAGTACGGTACGATTTCAAATCTGTAAATGTATAAAATTTCTTTGGAAACTTTACTAGGTTGTGTGGGAAACGGATTTTTGTGTTTTTTATGTAAAAAAATTGGGTTTTAATATTACATTTTTTTTTGTAGTTGCGTTAAAAAAGTTAAATATTATGTTATCGAAAAACAAATTTAAAAAGTTCAAGTAAAAAATAAAGATAAACATTTTAAATTAAAAAATACATATTCAATAAAATATACTCAAGATTTTTTCGCAAATACTCTTGGAATATTATTTATATACAGGGTAACTACAATTTAATGATTCAAATAACTTGCTTTCATGTATTCAAATTATATTACAAATATATTTTAAATATAAAAAAAAATTAAGTTATTGCCTAAACGTTGTTTAATTTGTGTGTATTTTCTTGAGTATCGGAATGAAAGATCCGTGTAGGTATATAAAAAAGTATTTGATAAGGGTTTTTACTTTTTATTGACTTAGAACTAATTTTTAAAAGCTCAAAAGCGGAGGGTTAGATAAACACCGAACAAATTCAGAGGCATTAAAACTATGGTGACCAGATGATATAGATGATGATAAGATTTTGTAGGTATTCATTTTCTTATTCATGACCAATTATTATTAACACTATTAAACTATTAAACATGTTATTTGGTTGCGCTTAAACATTTTTAATATTAACAAAACTATGTAGGTATGTTTTTTTTCCAGATTGGATTACAGACAAACGTCAAAAAACCGTTTCCTCATCAATGATGATGGACATTTCAACAGTTCATTCACTTCAAAACTTAATGAAACAAGTAGAACAAATTATATAAAAATATTCTTAACATTTATGACAAAGACAATAATTTATATTAGGACTTTCTTCATTAAGGTGTATTTATAAAAACAACTCGATTTTTCTAATCTAAATAACCAACTACTTCTTTTAATACCAATGCACTTTAAAAGACCTAATTATGAAACTAATTAAAATTTTGAAAAAATAATACTTTATCAGATACTATTAGTCCAAGACATATATAAAAAAAAATAGAGCCCCAAAGTTAGTTAATTCAATTGTTTGCAAATATATCGATTAATATTGAATTAAAAAATTACTCAGTATGGCTGATATGTTGAAAAAACAGGGTTTTTCAATTATTTTGGCTATGACCGTAAAGAGTGGTTTGAGAATTTGTCTAATCACCTCTTTTTTTATTAAAAAAAATCATTAAAAATTAATTTCTTATGTAATATAAATTTAGCTAAAATAATTTTAATATTTTTGAAAAAAATATATAAATTCTCATACTTTGGGTAAAAATAGAAATATTTCTTTAGATCATAAACTTTTTTTAATAGTTTTCTGTTAAGTGAAAAGAAAAATAAGTTTTTTTTCAGAAAGCCGAGTTTATTTAACATGAGAAACTGGTTATTAATTTTTTTTTTTTTAATGGCTGAAGATACTATAAACAAACAAACAATAAAAAAGAGTGTTAAGATAAAAACTCAAAATACTTTTTAAGATTATGGCAAATATAATCATAAATAATCTAAAAAATTGAGAACATATTTTTTTTATTGTAACAGACATGCTGTGTAATTTTCAAAATATTCGCCAGAGTTTGGTCCAAATTTTCGATCATACTTTGCATTTTTACTCATATAATGTAGTGTCAGTTTTTTGTTTTGTGATTATCAAACTGATGAAAGTAAAATTGCACTTACGCAGTAGAAAGAGTATTCACATATTTGTCCTTGATAAGTGCTATATCTTGATTTTCTTCAATTTGTATCGTAGATTTGAAATAACAATCATTATCGATTTCGTCGACCTCCCATTTATTTACAGACATGGTGTTTAATTTGCTAAAATTAAAAAATCACATTTGTAGAGTAGTAATGAGGTAATATTTAGGTGGCTCCTAAAATATACTTTTGAAATTTAAGTTAAAGGAGAAACTCGTTATATTAATAATGATGGTTATTTAAACAGTTAACAAATAGACTTACTCAATAGATAGCAGCTCTGGAACTAAATTTGTGGAATCTGAAATGTTGTCGACTTCAGTTTTTTCAACTTTAATGCTTGTCGTATCGTAGTTTGATTCAACAAAACTAAAAAAGACATTACGTAATTGGAAATAAATCAAATACTTCTTATCTAAAAGCAACAAACTTATCTTTTTTACACACAATTATTAGTAAAAATTTGATTTTTAAACAATTTAAAATGAGGAGAATCAGCTCGTTATTAAAATTGCGATGAAAAATTGAACTTACCCAGTAGTATGGGAGTCCATATATTTTTCCATTATGACTGATAAACTTGATTTCTATCTTGAATCTGAAATAATAGTTTTAAATTAATTCAAATTAAATTACCGTCACGCTTTTTGAATTGCTAACAATACAAATGTTAAGACTGAGGTTATATAAGGTATATCAGAACATTTTTTTATACTTTTAAAAATATATTCCAATTAATTATTCCAAGACTTTTGAATGGAGTCTTAAGGAATGTGATAATTGTGTAACGGGATATAAAAAAATGATTAAATAGACTTACACTGTAAAACGAGACTCTAAATTTGATAATATTAAATAAGAATTGTTTTTGAGTTAAGATTCTTCAAAAAACTTATTACTAGTTGTATCGGTTCGATAAAAGCAAGTTAAATTATATAAGGATTTAATCATTAAGAAGTACTAGAAAAATAATTAGAATCTATCAATGAAATGATGTATTATTTATTGATGTATTGATTTAGTCTGTAATGTATGATGTAAAACCAATTTTTAACTGAGTTGCACAAATAGTTGAAATAAAACTCATTCATATCAATATAATAAAATATTATTTTTTAAATTAAAAAAAATATATTTAAAAAAGTTTTTCACAATTTATTCACATAAAAAATAAAAAATAATTATAATGTTCTCGTGTAATTTTATAGTAATCTACTTTGTTTGTATTTATATCTATGTATAACAACTAATTTTAATATATTTTGTAATATATGTATACAAAATTATGTTAAAAAAGTAAAACACTTCTTTAACAATACAATGGTATATTATAGAACAATATATTATTTTGTTGATAAAATATCTTACGGATTTACATAATTTATTATGTGATGGAAAAATTAATATGCGCAAAAGAGCTGATGAGAGCAGTTTTTCAGGAAGCACGCCACGGAGCCACCAAAAATCGACACGGAGCGACTTGACAAACAGCCACCCGAGTGATGCCAACATAATATATAATATTTGTATAAAATGCAGGATTGTTATTTGTATATGTCATGCGGCCGATACCACGTATTATAACGGAGTAATATAATTGGATAGCAAAAAAAAAGTCATAGTCTACATAAAACCCAATTGCTTAAATTATAAAACATGGAACGTGTATTAGCCTGCTGGCTCCTGAATATTGATTATTACTGATCTTTAATCTCCTTGCGATTTACGATAGCTAGGCAAAACACAGAGCTGAGAATCAGCGAGAACGAGTCCAAGGACAAGATAAGACCTAACCTAATCAGACTTTTTAGTTTTTTTTTTATAAATTTCAACAGTAAAAACTAATTTGAACATAACTTAAATAAAAAACACTCAAAAATGTATTTTTTAATGCTAAATTTGAAAATAATTCGACAACGTACTTAAATATTATATGTTAATAATGTTATATTTTTTATAGGTCTATGATATACGGATATTATATCGGGAATATCTGATTAGTCATTATGTTTGATAGTAGTGTTAGGAAAAGATTTAAGGGTTACCGATTTGCGACACTAATAGAATAAAAAGGCTAGTTTAAAGTTACACACACGAACAATACTATATTACGGTACACACTCTACACCTCATCGGTAGACCGCCACACAGGCACTAACTAACTTATATAGTTTAACAGACAACAGTAAGCCCTCTCCCCCCCTGTATTAGGTGTAACAGTGTATTTTAACGCTACAATATATATATATATATATATATAAATAAAATGTTTGAATCATTTTTTTTAAGTTTGTATACGTAATACATAATATATTAATATTTAAATATTTAAAACAAACCCGAACTTTAGTAAAATGTGTAAGATATAAAGTCCCAGCTTAAAAATTATTCTTAATATTTATAACAATTTTATTGCCTCTTTAATATGATTTGCTTGGAAATTATTTATAGTTTTTAGAGATTTTTACAAAAAATTTGTGCACTTCTTGATATTTTATGTTCTTTGAACCTAACCTCTATGATATCACAGATTTTATCTAATCTGTGATGATATTTCATTTTGTCTCTCCTACATAACATTTATCACATTTTTCACATTGTATTTTATAAATCACTAATTTTTTTCTCTTCCCCTAACTTATCTTTGAACTTTTAACTTTAATCGAAAACCGTTATGATCGTAATACTTCTTATGATCAAAAGAAAAAGACAATTTTAAATGCCATAATATTATACAATAATAAACCGGTCGCGTAAAAACACAACCATCTCAAAATCTGCTTGCCCTTCACTGCTCAATATTCCATAAATCATGTTATTGTCATCTACAAGTCCTAATATGTACTTAGATTTTTCCAAACTATTAGATGTACTCTTTTTAAGAGGCCATGAGAATTATTGTCCCTACATTGTAGTTGTTGTTTAAATATTACATGGATATAGTATATTCAGGTTGGCGCTTGCTTCTAGACTCATATTAGCACAACTCGTCCAAATGTCACAAAAGGACAGAAAATATTAACTTTTTAAAGTAGATAAGACAATGAAAAATAAAATAATAGCAATAGACAAAACGGTGTACACTTTGTTAGTAGTCGTTCAAAATATTATGAAACAATAATTTGTTTACAGTTTCTTAATGATGTATAATTAGGAATCAAGGCTCTTAAATTTCAACCATATTCCATTTTCTGGTACAGTAGTCAAAGTTAGTTTTTTAAATTTCATTGGAGCATCAGTTTTTTCACATGGTTCTACTTCGTATTTCGATAATATTTCCGAGAGTGCTAATTTCATCTCCATTTCGGCAAAACGTTTACCTATAAAATATATTGAAAATTGTGTTATCAGTAAGTTCAGTTAAACATAGGAATCAGTTACAACAAAGTTTACACAGAACGGCAAAACAAATATTTTACCGTCAAATGATTTGAATTATATTTTCTACTTGCGCCGTCCAACGATAACCGAAGAGCTTTATTTACCTAAACACAGACGAGGTCCTTCTCCAAAAGGCATGTAAACACCACTGGGTCTTTTGGCTTTTTCTTCGGGGGTAAAGCGTTCCGGATTGAAGGTAACAGGATCCGTGTAATACATTGGATCCATGTGCAGGCTGTATGCAGGTATGGCGATTTTAGTTCCCTTTTCTATTACCAAATCTTCTCCGGGAACTTGGTAGGACTTTGAAGCCTCTCTGATGAGTAACGTCAATGGTGGATACATGCGTAGAGTTTCTACAAAAAAAAAAAAACGCATTCAAAAAATGTAGTGTAGAAAGAAAAAAGTTTTTCAGCTGAGTCTGCAACCACGAAATGGCATTTTCATGTCTCGAATAAATTTAGAGTAGTGGTGGAATTATAGATAATGAAATAGTATATGAACGAGCTAGTATCTAAGGTGGCTAGTAAACATATCAAGTTTCTGGCTTATATTTTAGTGTTTTCATAATATCTGACCTTGAACAATTCATAGGAAATGTGACCTGTTAAAATACATTGAATTTATTTTTCAGTTATAATTTGATCGTTGTGAATATAACGGGCACAGGGCAGTTGGCCGAAAAATGATAAGCGATTTTATCACCGATATCATGCACGAGCACCTGCGTCGCAAAAAAAATATTCGAATATTTAAAATCCTTATCAATAGACTTAATATGTATTGCATTTGTATTGATGATAAAGAATTTGTATTGCTGATAGACGAAAGTGAATGATATACTGTACCTAAATTGTATTATTAATAAATTAATTTATTCTTTTAAGTTTAAACTATATTATAGCTATTATTATCATGACAAAACAGCAAACAGCTTAATTTGTTGTACTAATAATTTAATAAGTCAAAAATAAGAATAACTCCTTAATTATTTATTAGTAACTAAACTTAAGTGATACGATAAATGGTAGACATTTTCAGGAGTGAAAAATATATATTTCCAAAATAAAATAATTTTATTAACTATTCTCCTGATTCTATAAACAAAGACAAGCCAAACAAATTATTAAATCTAAAAGAGTGAATCACAACTGGAATTATTACTTCTATAAGAAATAGAGAAGAAAAACTTTTATACAGTAACTTAAATGTCTAAGCATATTAACTTGAATGAGCAAATTTCTTTATACAAATTGACAACACTGTACTTTGTACTATTACGAAATTTGCAATTGAGGGGTGACATTTCAAAACGTACTATTTCCCGTGTTAAATTGAGTTTAAAACATTGCTATACTTTCATACTTTATATTTTGTTTTATTTTAATAATTTATCAAAATCAAACAGTTTATACAACATTTATAAAAGCAAAGACTGTAAATGAATATTTGTGATATAATAATACTATATTATTGTAACATTTGTAAAGGCCTACTTGTCAAATGTATATTTGTTTTTATTTCTACTCTATTCAAATGAAATAATTGATTTATAAATTGTAAGATAAGCAACGACCGCAAGTTGAAAAATGTTGATAAAGTGAGATCAAAGATTAGGTATTGTTTGCTGGCGTTATTAATGTTTTACAGTTACTTCTACAAAAACAGCATACGAAATAATTTAATTTTAATTAATTTAGTATTATTATTTAAATGATCAAAATGTGTTTAATTATTCTGTTGTTTTCAATTTATTTTATATTTGTATGATTACGATATTTTTTTTTTAATGAATAAAAAAATAAGGTTTTATTTTTTATGGAGATCACACAAAACATATTGTAACAAATTACAGACACATGGAAAAAACAAAGTATGAATTATTTACTTTTTCAGGAAATAGTTAGCTATGAATGAATAAAGAAATATACTCACAAAAAATAGAATTAGTATGTTTTGAAATATCGCCCCTCAAATACACTGACTTCATATACCTAGATATAGATTAATGCTACTAACCTGCCAAAACCATTTCGAGATATGGAAGTTCTGCTAAGAAACCACTATTAAGTTCATCGTCATGGTTTGACTTTGCGGTTAGGATTTCTTCACGGACACGGTCTTGAATGTGTTTTTTTAAGGCTAATTCATATAAACAGAAGCTCACAGTCGTAGATACCGTCTCGAAACCGGCCACAAACATTAAGAAAGCATTGGCTATTATATCCATTTCTTTATAGCTCACTGTGAAATAATAATATAACAACAATATCAATACAATAGGTTCTCGATTGAAAAATAATGTTAAACTAATACGATAAATACAACTTAAAATCAAATTTGTATTATATTATGAAGGGCACAGGGGAAAAACGGTAGTAGTCACATTATGAACATTTTAGAGTATAGTAAAAATAATGTTTGTGAATTCCTCTCCCTCTTACACAAGAACAAAAAAAAATCACATTAAATGCTATTCTAATAAAAAATGTATTGACATAAATAAAACAAATTAATGGCATAAATTGAAAAAAGAAATTTCATAATGTGACTACTACCGTTTTTCCCCTGTGTCCTTCACATATTAATATCTATAACATGACAAAGTTAGAACGCAATCACATGATGTTGATCTCAAAGAATATTAACATTTTTTGTCCGACGACCAAAATAGTGTTTTTCGGCATGTAGTTTAATAAATTATATATTATTAAATGTTAATATCGTACATCATTTGAATTGTAAATTTATTGGAATGTATCAGTTACCGGACGGCTCCGATTTGTTGATGACCAAGTCTGTTCTGGCCTGTAGCAGACATTGCACAAAGTCATTTCTTGTGATGTGGTTCTTTTGTCTGTATTCCATTGTCTGGAAAAACGATTTTTCAAAAAAATCCGTCGCAAACTTTGGGAAATCGTTTATTTTCAACATTTTCCTCAACCCTGGCGAGATGAACTCGCACATGTCTTTCAGCTGAAGTCTAATTGACGGCGCGAACACAGCTCTTCCCGCCTTGCGGAATAAGGAATTATCATCGACTATGGTGTTCAACTGCAGTCCGAAGGCGCAAGTGCCGATCACGTCCATCGAATAATCGCCAATGACGCCACGCACCTCCAGCACGTCCGACTGGGCTAGTTTCAACTGCAGGTTGTTCATCAGTTGGTCGCCACAGTCTTTTATCTGTTCTCGCATGTTCTTCAGTTTCGACGACGTGAACACCGGGCTTATTTTGGCCCTGATGATTTTCCATTTCTGACCTTTCATCGTGAACATGTGGTTGGTTATAGGAGTGGCGTCTATGTCCACGGGGAACCCGTGATCGGAGAAGTGCCAGAAGTCCTTGACCAGCACCTTGGCGATGAGATCCGGGTCGCGAAGCATCAACGTTGGCGTTCTCATCTGGTAAAATCCCCAGTATTTGTGTCCGGCACTCTGTTTGTACAGCCTGCCGAAAAACTCCGTCTGGTGTTCCAGTCCAATCAACATGCGGCTAAAATTTCCCAACAGCGGCACTGGCCGGTCGTGGGGCACGTTTCTTTTGCGCCAGTATCCGTAAGTGGAGATGCTGAAGTAATACAATAGAAATCCTACGGCTACGGACAACGCGCCCGTGTACAAAAACCAGGTGCCGGTAAAAGGCCATGCACCGGCTACGGATAACAACATGATTGCACTGTACAGTGCAATGGAAACACAACTAAAGCCTCATGGCTGTTTGCCGTGTTGCTTAGATAGGTGAAATCACTATTCGAACAGATAATGTTTGACGTAGGCTGACTTTGTTATCAATTTAAATAATATTAAACATTCGTAGCTGTGTTAATTAACAATTAAACGTGTTGATCCAAACGGTTGAATAAACGAAGTTAGAATGGATACAATAATTGTTTGATATGCGGAATATAGGACGTGTTGTTCACGCGTCCTATATTCTCTAAGGTCTACTACTGACCTTCACCTGTTTTCTCAGTAGCTGATATTTAATTCGTACATTTATGTATATTTTATTTGTTTTGTAGTTTTCAAAAGACCTCGTATATTTTAGTATTTTACTAACGGATGAACAGGGTTATGCAGGGTAAATAAGGGAAGAATTAAAACAATTATTTATTTTTATCATTTTTTAGCTAATAGTTCACCCAATTCTGATACCTTTTTCAACAATGTTACCTGTCCCTTAATGTATTAATAACCAACAAACATACGATTTTTAAACAGTAATGTGTAATAACTGAAATTTTTCAAATCGAGAATAATTTATTGAAAAATTTGACTGGTTCAAAACAAATCAGCTTTGAATAATTACTATTGAATTTATTAGAGTTTTAAACTTAGGAGGAGAGGTGGAGTGCGGTTGAATAACGCGCTTAAATAATACTATTTTCCACATCACATCCCTACCTAAAATATTAAACTTCAATAACTTTAAAATAAATTAATCAAAATTAATCATCTACCGTATGATATTTTCCAAAAATTATCTTAATTTAAAAAAAGTTAAAAAAATGTTTACATTACCATTTAAAAATCTTAAGTTCATAGGTTATCAAGTAATAACACATAATGGATGAAGTAATATTGTTGGAAAACATTTTGTATTTGAGCTGACTAAAATCAATAAAAAAAAATGTTTTTAAAAATTCTAATATGTTTTTATAGATGCAATAGTAAACCAATCACACAATATACATATACACATATGAAATGGTTGGTCGATAAAAAGTTTGTAGCATTCATTAAACGATACCTAATGCAATTCTTCAATGATTTAATTTTAATATTAGTAGAATTTTGTAGGTCATTAAACATCACGTGTTGGCTCGAGAATGATTGATTAAATTAATTAACTTGTTATGTACTCGCGGTATAATAATATAACGTTTTTTTTTGCTATCTTATCTAGTTCTTATATACCTACTGTAATATATCACTAAAATCAAAAGGGCAATTCGTTGAGATTTGATTCAAATAACAATATATCTGTAAGCTGTAGTCTGTATACTAAGTGTTGCCGCACGAGTCTGACGTTAGGAACATCTGGTGGGCGGCGCTCACACCGAACATCAGACCGGTCCGGCCGCCGCGCCGTGATGTCCTCGTGCGGCAATTACGCTTAACAAAATGATAACAAGCACACCAGAAAAATGATAACAAGCACACTAGAAAATGGTAAAAGTCTCGATTCTGAAAATATATCTCTCTACAGACACATATTGTCGTTGCCGCGAAAAACTTGTGCTAAAACCTAAATGTTAAGGAGACACTATAACGTGTAAAACGTTTTATTATACAGTAGGGTAACACATATGAAATTCAATTTTTTATTTTTCATTTATTGTACAATGGAGATAGCACGTTAGAGATTTTATCATATGATAGCTTATTTTTTTCTGTACACGGGATCCTAAAAACTCAAAATTGTAAAATTGGCACATAGGAGGTTTTTTGAGGCAACGATGATGTACTAAAGACATCCTCTCTAATATTAGAAATTATATATCTTGAAACCTAATTATTAAAGGGCATAGGTACGCCTTTAAATTATAATAAGAAGCATTTTGTGGGAAAAACTCGCTGTTTCAAATTTTGTTTTGTGTTTAGTAGACGACCGCGGTAATGGTTGAGCTAAATGTGTGTTTTCTAGTACTCTTGTTATAATAATAATTGAACTTGGAAACTTCAAAACACAAAATATATCTTTATATATCATATGACAATTTTTTTTTACCATTTTTATGATTTAGCTAATTTAGCATTATTATTTGAACATGGATATTATGTTATTAGACTGGGGTAAATCGGATAAGACTTTACTATTTTATTAATTACTATAAAAATGTAATTGTTATTTAAATAATACAAGATGACCTTTCCTCTCCTTTTCATTATAACCAAATTTATGGGATTCATAAATATTATAATATAATTATATTAAAAGGTGTAACAACCCCGTAGCCCTGTACGTATGTATTGCAGGCTTTTTGAGTCTTGTCACAATCGTGGTGATAGGTTTTTAGATATTTAATAGAATAACTTCAGAGTAAATCACAAACATTTAATTTAATATACTTATAAAACATGTACAACGACAAACAGTTAATAGCATAAGTTCAGTATGCTTCAAAAATATGATGATTAAGACAATTATAAGCCGCTTAAGACTTCAAAAGAAGATGATAGGTAGAAACTTCAAGTGTAGTGTATGGTGGTCCCAGCACATCTGCCCTGCTATGCCTGAAGTTCTCCCTTATATGCTGGTCCACTCGCTGAATGGCCGTGGGAATCCTCGCAATTATCGAAAGACCGCGCGTGGATGACCTCGCTCGCCCATGACATCCGCTTATGTCAACGGTGGAGGAAGAGTAGAGGCATGAGAGTGCAGCCTTCGCATGGTCCAAATTGGCTAGCTTCGAAGTGAGATTCGCACGGTAGTTGCCAAAAACGTTAAGTTCCTTTTAGTGGTTGGCCTCGTTGTTGAGGTCAACTGTGAACAGAATTACAAGTTGTCTGCTTTCGCAAGATGCTGTAATGACCTTTTGGGTCTGATGTGAAATCGACACGTGTGGTACATTCATATTTAGCAATATTTAACAATGAGAAGTTATATAATATAATATATAGATATATGTATATGTTAGTCCTGATAAGTTGTACAATGTAATATATATATATATATATGTATCTATTAGCCCTGATAAGGGTGGGTCCTTAACAAAGGTTGTAGCATAAAATATAGAAATAATTAAAAATTACCCACCTAAAATACCTGTATAAAATATATAGCTACATCAAATTTACTATACTGTGTTTACTTACTAAATATTGTAGTTATTAATGTATGTACATATTTTTAACGTCAACAAAAATAAATAATAGTAAGCACAGTATCTTTAAAAATTATACTACAAATAATAATAGTTTCTCAAAACATAAGTCTGTTTTATTTTTAAATATCATGTAAGCAAGTTATTACTATAGCTTTATCATTTGAAATATTGATAAACATTTATAATTAATTTTAAATAAGTCAATTAGAAATGAATTGCTCTGACTAGTTATATCTACATAGAATTCACCAAATACATTAAAATTCACTGGCGAGTCAAATAATGGTAATAAATTAAACTTATCTAATTCTAAATATATATTTCCAATGGCATTTCTAATAATTTTTTTAACACAAATAATGGCATTATTTTATAGCAAACATATATATATTTATTATTAACAGTACTTATATTCAATTTTTCTAATATTTTATATTCGTATAAAGTAACAGTAGGATCACGGTACGAAAAATTATTTTCAATATCATTTTGTTCTAAAATTCTATGATAAACATCTTGAAGGGGATATTTAGCATTTTTTAAAGTATTTTTATTATTTTGTAAACAATTTTCAAATTTAAATGCGCTAAATGTGTCCAGCCAACTGTCGTATTGTCTTATATAGGGAGTAAATGCGTCATTAGCGGGGGAGAGGTATGAAATAAATCCTTTGGAAAATCACCCAACCGTATGATTATATGGTATGACTCAATATATGTTATGTGTCCTGTTTTATTTTAATATATCCGTTTATAAAAATATTGTACTCAAAATAATATATAAATAATTATATGCGGTATTATTATTTGTGCATACAATTGATTATAGAATATTTAACTTATATTATGTAAAATTACATTATTTAATTGTGTGCAAGTATGTGATTTAGTGCATACAATATAATTATTACACAGCCATGTATTTTAACAAATTTTGGTATATGAATTGACCCATGAACCTTGATAGTAAAGTATTGGCTAACTCATTATATGTAATACATGTTTCGTTTGACACAAGTAGTCGCAAAGCACAATGTAACAACTAAAAATGTTTGTATAATGACTTTTGTAATTTCCCTTTAAAATAATAGCGCCTGAATAAACCAAAAAGGAACTAAATTCTACTGCCTTCCAATACGCAAGTTCTTCTAAAGAACGACGTAGTCTGTTTAATTCTTTGGGGAGATATGATTTTAAATGTTCAAGTTCTGAAGATATTTCACTATCATTAATAAAACGGACGGGCTTTTTGCCCTTTTTCCAAAATTATAATAATCGTTTCATGACACCAAGACATACATTGAATTTTCCTACACATAAATTGCCACAAGAATCTTTTAAATATAAATGTATTATTACACTCCTGCATTAAGTCAAATTAGACATTTACTCAGTTAAATACATAATCTTAAATATTTTTTAAATTACTATAACTAAAATAAGTTATCAATAATTTTATACTCACCGTGTATATGATATATAGTAGTACATATAGAGATACAGTTTGTTTAGCTTTGAATGTTCTTTTCCCTAGTATAGCGCTGATTACCATGGCGAAACCACTCTTTTACACTTTCTTCGAAGGCGATACCAGTGGAGCTGAAATTTATTCTACCGAAATCTACAAAATTAATAAACATATGTATAGGTACAAATAAGTAAAAAATAATTAAAAAAAAAAAAATCTTAAAAATATTCACTAGAACAAAATTTATTTCAATTGCCTTATCTTTGTGGGACACCCTGTATAATATGGTATTTTTACTAAGTGTGAAGCAGGAACCATAACAGCGACACGTTGTATAAATAAAAGAGCAAACCGCTAAAATTTAATACTGAAAAAGCAATTATTGTTATACAAGCTCGTCTCTTACATCACAATACATTGCTACCATATTAAATTTCATAAAACATAAAACTATAGAAAAGGTAATTTTTTTTCAATTTTGACTCAGTACATTCCAGCCTAACGGATAACGATTTATAATGAATAGAGGCAATAGGGGCTCGCGCCCCCTTGCAAGGGGCGAAAGGCTACAAATATTCGTCAAGACATATTTTATTATGTTAATTAAAAACGTATAAATCAAATGTGTACCAAAATGCAGCTTTCAGTGAATATTTAAAGTATATTTTATTAAATGTTCATTATTCTAGTTTCTGATATGAGCTGTACAGTTATAGTGCCGCCGCAGTTATCAACAACGCTGGGGCTTACAGTAATGTATATATATAATAAAAAAAATCTGTATCCTATGTAAAATTGTAAGGTCTTTAATTTGTATAATTGGTCATTTTTACGTATGACCAATAGTTTTAGCAAATAAAGTATATAACTTAGCATATGGTAAATTCGACGGGCTTTAATTTTTATCCTTTACACTTTAACCGTAAGTCTAACGGTTATCGGGTTATAAGAAGAAACGGCGAGGGGGTAGCGCAACCCCTTTTTAAGAGATGGAGGGCTACGCACAAGGGGTAGGCTTGGGGACTTTTGTAGTATGTTGATCAGTATGGTATGGACTGTTTGTGTACCAAAATTCAGCTTTCGCGGAATTAGTTCCAATCTTTTTGTCTAATTTGATATGACTATAATATGTAATAACCGCGCAAAGTACATTATTTATTTGTTATCTTATTATTTTTTCACTAGATATTATATATTGCATATTATTATTAGCATTAGTGCTTAGATCATCAACATGTGGGGGTGTAAAGGGCAATGTTGATTAACTTGTTTTCGCATTTACTTTTATCTCTTATTCTATTTCTTATTGTTAAATAATACACCTATATTTATGACTTGTACAACTTAAATAGGAAAGAAACGGAAGGGAAACGGGTCATTGTTGCAGAAGCGATGTTTGGATGTAACTAGTATAACGTTAAACATATTAATAATATTCATTTTATTTAATTAAAGTGTTCTATTTTTTATTATTATACAAAGTATATTCTAACGACTCAGTCACGTTATTACAATATACTATTGTAGCTACCAGCCAAGGCAATAGCACTCCCACTTTTCTCGAGGCGTCACAGTGAACGGTCAACGCCACAGGGAGTGAGTGTGTCGGTAAATATGTTTTTATTGCTCCAGCAGTATTGTCAGTGGACCTTAGGCGTGCAGTCTGTTCGATCTCACGCACCCTCATAAACATATTAGTTTTTAGCAAAATTATTTTTCACATTTAAAAAGTTTTAATTGTAAACTCGGTTTTTTTATTTTCTACATAATAGTAGTAAGCGTCGAAAGAGTCTCGTCGAGAATTCACCTATTCCATACGAATCAAGTCGACAATATTTGTATTGGTAAGCATAGCGTGCATATAATTATTACTATATAAGTGTTCAGCAATTATTATGCCAATACATTACCGGCGGTTTGTTAAAAAAAAAAACACCTTGAAAATCTATACTGCTCGCATCACAAGCTAACTAGTCTACTATATCAAAAAAAAAAATTAAATAGGTATATTATTACTATAAACATAAAAATAATAATATGGTTAAAGACAATAATTGTCTCATTATTATTAGCTTATCCTACTGCTACATTATACAATTGTTTTGCTTTGTACGTGCATTACATCTACCGTACACTTATGGTGCATACGGCTGCTTGTAATATACATTGTCATTGTCGGATGGACGTGGCCTGTCTTTGTGACCTACTTATATATTGCTTAAAAGTGGTAATATTCGTACTTCGTCCTTGAAAAAAATAGATTTCGCCTTTTTCTTTAGTTAGCAATGTTTCATCACCAACGGCTAAAATATTTAGACTTTATTCGAAATTATATTGACCATATTTGACTATTGTTCAGATTTTTTTAAGGTGGAAATCGGTTAAGTGTTTTATTATAATATAATATAGATTGTAGGTACTTGCGTTTGAATTACAGCTAATAGCAATCGGTGTATAATACAAAAATTGCAAAATAAAACAAATAATTGAGAATAGTTGAAAAAATGTTTAGTTACCTGTTACCTCTATTAATAATAGTTAATCTTAAACCACGGCGGTGTCTACTTTTTTTATTTTTATATTTAAATTAGCACCAAATATGTATTGAATATTCTTTATTAGATATAGTACTACCAATATACAGTGAAAACCCAATGAAATAAAAATATATAAATTATCATAAGCACACTTTCCCGAGGAGGGGTAAATTTGTTTTGCTTTTTGCTAGGTGTAGTTTGTAGGATTTAAGGTCTAATAATTAGACTTAAAGTGCGTCTATAGTGGAGCAAAAACATAACCAATTTTCTTAAAACCCTGTAGTCAAAACTTTTTAAAAAAAAAAAAGGTTTTCATTAAGTGTATCGATCAACTACAAAAAAGTGCATCACAACTTAATTTTTGTTCAAATAGGAACAATTCGAATCAACGTTTTCAGACAAAATTGTGTAGTACATTAAATAACAATATAATACCAATCTGGAGACATATGTTTAATACAAAATAATTAATTTGCTAGAGCGCTAAATAATTGAATTTTTATGTATAGTAATTTTGGGGCATTTATAATATTATACAAATACGACACGACCTGTTTTGACAAGTCTCGACACGTTTCGACATGTTCTGAGACCGCGCGTTAACCATTACAAGGCTTTCGATCAGTGGTTTTCAACCTTTTCGACAACACGGCACACCTAATCTTCTACACAATTATCGTGGCATATCAAACCATAGATTTGATTATTTATTTCTATTGCCATGTTGATTCTAGAATCTAGAATATTAGATTAAAGAGTTAATAATTGTAAAATAAATAATGCAATGATGAATAGAGTTTTATACGACGATCATGTACATCACCTGACCAAGAAAATACTGTGTTTGAATAATTTTCATGATACTGACGTCTAATAATATTTTTTGTTGTTTTTTTTGGTGGTTCACTCATGACTCATTGAAGAGTGAAGTGTTATTAGCAGAACGAGATATAAATGTATCTATAATAATAATTGTTGTTATTGAATAAAAATAAGTAATTAATTTAAAAAAAAAACACATATACTGTTTTATAAAATAAACTAAATATTAAGCCTGGTCCACACTAAGGTAACATAGACCAACATTGTTGCTTTCCATTTGTTTCCATGTTTCGATAAAAAGCCAAACATGTGGCAACTAATGAATGTTGCCTTAGGCCCGGGCCGACGATGCGTATCACCGGATCCGGCGACGCCGGATGTGGCAAATTTAACGTTGTCATAGGTTTGTTATTTTATTTTGGTCCAACGACACGTTTTTGATCAACGATCTGATCAATTGCGACGAGTATAATAATAATATCACTATAGTTGTCCCGTGCACTATATATTCGCACACAAACAGACAAAAATAATACAAAAACTAAGTATAAACGTTAGAACCACCGCGGTTGAGATAAACAAAAAAAACTAATCAAAATAATTTAAAATCAACCGGTCCAGACGTCTGGTATAGGTATAATATACTGTGTGATATTATTTTATCTACTGTAGCTTATATTAAGTATTGTATATACTTGTTAGTGCGGGTTTTTTAGATAACGTTGTCAGCGGATGTGCGAAATGGCCATCCGTACATACCTTATCGGTTGCTGTCAGTGTGGACTTTGTCAAAAGCCGACATAATGGCGCATGCCTTTATTCTACTGTAAATACTTAATACTTGTTATCTTTACGACATTATTATAATATATGTGTAGATGTGTGTGTGGGTGTAGGTCAGCGTACGTAACAATACTTAAAAGTACAGGGTTATTTACTAACTGTCTGAACCAGTCAATATTTCATAAGATATTACCTTTTATACAAATTATTAATTTTTGTACTATTATAAATGTTATTAGTTCGGCCTAAACAACTTGACTAGACTTGTTTTTTTTTAAACGGGAACCCTATGTTTTTAGTTACATAAATATGTTGACCAAAAAATTAAAAAAAATTTAGGGTTAAATTTTTAAATTTCATCAATCTCTTCGTTCGCTATTCAAATTTAAGATCAATATTTGTTCGGTTTTTACAACAGCACCACAGTTTCCAATTAAATAATAACATTGACCAAAAGCACTGTCACCGTCACTGTGTTTGAAATGTTGTCTATCATTAGCTCAAAACATTTTAATGGTTATCGGTATTCTCGCCTATCGCAAAATGCTAACATAAATATGAATTTTATGGAATACTGGAATTTGGAAAACCGAAGACTTTTAATAATAATTGTTTAAGGTAATGATATATATTTACAAATTCAAAGCAAACAAACAAATTGATGAAAAATGAAAATTCGAACGCCAACATTTTTTTAATAAACGTTGTCTGAGTATTAACGGAATTAAAAAAATATGTTCTCATTAAAAAAAAAACGAGATTCATATTTGTTTTACGATGAAGGTAAACATTTTCATTGCATTGAAATATAAAGTAAACTATTACCTATAAGTACAGGAAAAAAATTATTTTCAAAATATTCATATTTCCTGAGAAAATGAGTGTCTGACATCAGATGGATCACCCTGTAATAAATTGTACAACAATTAATAAATAAATAATAATTAAACAATTTATATATGTTAGTCCAATTATTAATATCTTTTTCGACTTGCGTATCTTTGAAATCGATCGGGTATTATAATTATAATTTTTTTTTACTGGGTGATTGGTTAACTTTTTTAATTATTTTTTTTTTATAATTTTATAGTTATTAGTTGGGACAAATTTAATATATTTTTAAAAAAATATAACCCCATCCCTTATATGTTAAAAACGTATGAACTTAAACATTTTAAATGATAACGTATATATTTTATTAACATTTTAAACTGAGAACAATTTGCTGAACATTTTGACTGGTCGATAACCAGTTTTGGATAATTAATTTTCAAGTTATTCAATTTTAAAAGTTATAACGGGAGAGGAAGGGCGTTGAGTAATGTGCCCAGAAAAAAACATCTCTACTCTCCACCCTTACGCCCGTTTTAAATTTTAAACTTAAATAACTTTGAAACTAATTATCCAAAACTGATTATCGACCAGTCAAAATATTCAGCAAATTATTCTTAATTGAAAAAGTTAATCAAATATATACGTTATTATTTAAAAAACTTAAGTTTATAAGATTGCAATATAATATAAGGAACGGAGTTATAATTAAAAAAAAATATATAATAATTTTGTCTCGACTAATAATTATAAACATATAAAAAAAAAAAATAATAATCTAATATCTTCTAAGTTATTGACTGGTCCATAGATAACCAATCTGGGCAGTACATAAAATTATAATTATAATAGCCGATCATTTCAAAGACACGCAAGTCGAATATTAATAATTGGACTAACATTTATAAATTGTTTAATTATTATTTATTTATTAATTGTTGTACAACATATTACAGGGTGATCCGTCTGATGTAAGACACTCATTTTCTCAGAAAATATGAATATTTTTAAAGTAATTTTTTCCTGTACTTATAGGTAAAAGTTTACTTTATTTTTCAATGCAATGAAAATTTTTACCTTCATCGCTTATCTGTAAAACAAGTATGTATCTCTTTTTTTTTTAAAATAAGAACATATTTTTTTAATTTCGTTAATGTTCAGACAACGTTTATTAAAAAATGATGGCGTTCAAATTTTCATTTTTCATCAATCCTTTCGTTTGCTATGATTTTGTAAATATATTACATTTCCTTAAATAAATATTATACAAATCTTCGGTTTCAAAATTCTAGTAGCCCAAAAAATTAATATAATTTTGTTACAAACCACCATAAGCTGATATTTAATCATTAAAATAATGTATTTAATTATAATATGTTACCTTGACGCGTACAATCACTATAAATTAATACAATGTAATATTTTGCAAATGCTAAATTTGATTACTTTGGCGGCATTGTTTAAGTGGTTTTTTAACGATAATACATTAAATGTGTAACAATAAAATTATATTCAACAATAACATGTTTAACAAATATTTATATGACTTTAATTTTGCAACTGTCACAAAATTGTATTTTTATGTTGGATAATTGATTTTTGTACGATAATTAAATTAACACTTTCGTCCATCGTATCAAACATATAATAATCTATACATTGTACATCAAGCTATGGTCGAAGCGGGGCAGAGGGTACCGAAGAAACCATCGTTCCATTTAATTTAGTTAGTATTTTCCATCCCCCCACAAATTTAGTTTAAAATTATCCACCCCTTTTGGATTTTAAAAATCAACTGCCATATAATTTGGGCAAAAATAAATCAGTTATATGAGTAAAAAAAATTCCATTTCGTTTTTTTTTTTTACGAAAACTAGAATTTTAGGAACTAACCTGATTAGTTACATTCCCCACTTCTTTTAATGCACTTTGATCACTGACGACAATTAATGTTACACGACGAGTCGAGCCGTTGCAGTTTGGTTTAGGTATTATTTTGTTATAAAACGGTTACTTATTGTTACAGGTTGATTTTTCATTGGCTCCGCTAAGATGGCTCAATCCGACATAGATATGGTGTATTTTGCCGAGAAGTATCCAAGGGTTTTCCTAAATCCGAGTGACGTCGAGCAGAGGTGGTATCATAGGATTTTGAAACCAGTGTTTATTGCAAAAGAAAACGACCTCGCACGAATCGACAGAGAACTGATGGACACGGGAGAACTCGACGAAACGACCGGCGTGTTTAATATGGTCAGTCCGAACACGTCCAAAAAGATTTGGTCGTTCACGCATCGGACACCACTTGACCTAATCAAAGTGATAATTACCGGACAAGACCCGTATCCGCCAATGTTTCGGGGCAGGAAAAACGAATTCGAGTCCGACGGGTTGGCATTTTCCACATTACACTGTGGAAACAGTCTTCCCGACAATAACGTGTTGAAGCGAATATTCGACGCTGTAACAGACCAGATCGAAGATCCAAATCTGGACATGTCCCGCACGACGTTAGACTATTGGGCTTGGCAAGGTGTACTTTTGTTGAACACTGGACTTACTCGGGGTGACGAATCGCACACACAACTCTGGATGAACATCACTAGGGAAATTGTCGTAAGAGTATGCAATTATGTCCGCGCCCGGGATATGCAGCGCCGGCCCCTCGGCGTTCTGCTGTGGGGCTTCGAAGCCAAGTATAATTTTGGAAGGATTTTGTCACGGCACTGCCACAATAATATAACACTAACGTGCCGTCATCCTTCGGCGGCGGCAGACAAACATTTCAAGGGCCGGCCTTTTGCGGAATCTAACCGACATTTTGCGGAAATTAACGAGATACTAGAAGAAATGGGCAAACAGCCGATTGACTGGTCGACGGTGCCCGAGGAAGAACGCGGTGGCCAATCGGACGACTATTGGGATTATTACAACCAATAGTCTTGATCATGTTTCATAATTATAATAATCGTACCCAGCTTCATTTAGACGGATTAGTTACTCAATTCAGTGACATTACTTTCAAAAAAAAAAAAAAAATATATTGAATAATTGTTTTGTTCTATATCCGTCGTACATAAGTGGATAAGACCACCGCGAAACCTAATATGTGCAAAGACCCGACCAATGGTAATACAAACTAATAAATAATAATTTCAAATAGTTTCCCTTACTCAGAAAAATCGAAAGAAAAATTTTAAATAACGATACAGCTATAGTAATATGAAAATCATTATTATTCAACATATTATTATGTTTATTTATACAATTTATAAAATACACGATTTACACTTTATACGTTTATTATAATATAAATTAAATTTTTCAAAGTATAACAAAAAAAGTTAATCTATGATTTGAATTGAAAAGTATGTGTTTAATGTAAAAATAAAATTAAAAGAAGTGTAATTTGTAAAAAATATATTAGGGTGTGTGCAGAGATAAGACAAAATTGAATCAGTCTGAATTTATAATTTTAATTTTTCAAAAAAAATCAAACAAAATAATAACATTTGTAATTATTAAATGTAAACATTAGTATTCTTTATAATCGATTAATTTATAAGAAAAACTGAATTTAAAAATCTCCAATTCCCATGCTTATATAACAATAAATAAACAATATCCGTAAGACACTCTGTGTACCAGTTCTAAAATGCTGCGATTAAAAGAAATGTTCAAAAACCATCTTTAAAAAGTTATGTGGTATTTATATCAAACTATATAATTATACTAACTATTATTATTGCACAAGTATAAAGCTACATTTATAAATTAACAGAATAGTCTGTATGAAATAAATGTATATTTATCCGCTATGAACTTTAAATGCAAATGCTTAATATTATATAACTAGCCATGCTGGGCGATTTTTTTTTGTTCTATTTTTTTGTAACAATAATAATTATTATATGGCTATAAAAACTGTCAAGTACATATTTTCAAAATTAAATCATATTACAACAGAACGAATTTTTATTATTTATAGTACCTACAATGTATAATAATTTCTCAATATAAAGCATTGAAAAACAACATCAATGACAATTATTATTTTTAAAAAATGCTTCATTTAGAATTATTTTTCTATATTTTTCTATTGATCAAAAGTATTATTTTTACCTCTTGGAACGATATAAACTTTTTGTTCCAAGAATCTTATTTCATATCAAAAGGTAAATCTTAACTAAAAAATGTTTTTTAATCTATCATTTTAATCTCCATTCTTTGTAGTTTTAGGACAATGAGATCAATTTTGACTTGGTAACGTTTTCAATAAATGCAAGTAAATTACAATATGAAGATAAGTTAATTTCATTTTTTGTAAAAAATTTAATGTCGAGTCAATGATGTTCATATAATTATTTCAGGAAAAATACTTACAAGTCATTGAGTGAGAAAAATGCAAAATTAACTCTAATAGAATATGTAAATTTACTTTTTTATTCTAAGACTACGAACATTTAAATGGCTTTTATATATTAATTTATATTTTTGTGTCTGGAACTATATTATGTCCTTCTCCTCGCAATATATAATATAAAATCAGTTTTCAGTTTAAGGATCTAAAGAACCTATTCTTAAGGTTATGTAACGACTGCCAGTTTTTATTTCCTTCAAATGGTATTAACTATTATTCCTAACCAGATGGTGTCTAATGGTGGTCCACAACATTATACTAACATCTTATTAGATGTTGGCTTATAAACAAACCACAAGATTAAAGACAGGTGCCTATTTATAGAATCATCTGTCTCGTACTAAATTATATAGAACTTGTCAAATCTCAAAATATACTTCATCCAAAGTACACGGTATCTAAATTCTACGGTACAATTCTACTAAAGTTATTTCAAATGAAACTAGATGTTTTGAACAAGTTTTGTTTTTGTACCAGCAATAGTATTTTAGTTGGTTAGAAAATTTGTAACTATACCCTCAAGCTCTCCCTCACATTGGATAGATTTTGCCAGTTATTTGAGTTTTAACTTAAAATGGACTCGTCAAATTTCAGAAAAAAAAAAAAACATGGATATATCCGAAAATTAACAAATTAATATTTTAATTTTAATCAATCCACGAAAGCTTTAAATCTAACTTACTCTCATACAGGTAACTATTAGATTAAATTGTATAATTTTTCTTAAATGTTTGTAAATTAATTTTTTTAATAACATCTGTTTTTTGTAATATTTAATTATTATTAATTACAATTATTTAAAACAAAATAGTTAAATATTTTTTTGTGACAAATGTCTTTTGATAATTTTTAACTCTATTAAGATTCTTTTCATAATAAGCAAAATTTCGTACACCTATTTAATACTAAATCAATAATAATAATAATTTGTACATTTGGTAGGTAGGTAGTACCTTTAATAATCACACAACATTTTTAAAGAAAATATATTTCATCATTTAAGTTTCTTTCCTTATCAATACTCACGGAATTTGTAAAAAATACCAACAAAATGATAATATTATCTTATTAATGCCAAACCAAAACAAAAAAATTAAAAATACCTCAAATTCTGTATTTCACTATAACAAAGAACTAATTATGATTAAATTTAATTATTAATTTATGAAATACAACAAATCGGTTGGAAACCTAATAATTCACTTATTATAATATTAACAAAATTAAAATTTAAAAATATATGTAACAAGATATGTGTGCGCCTTAACAGACCAGAGGTATGCAACTACACATACACCCCTGACAATGATGGGGAGGCACGCAAATCAGACGCACACCCAAACAAATTAACCTCTTATACATCAACGGCCTACCTACTTTTCTTGTCTTTATAATAAATTACTGAATGTATACTAAATGTACGGTGACAATATAAATGTTTAACGATCCTAACCCAAAAAAATGCCAGCCACATTACGCCAATGCCAAACTCACAACAAATATGCAAATACAACAAACGTGACAACCACTCGCCAATTGTTCACCCAATCTCAAGTAATTTGTCTGATGTTTTTTTTTTAAATCCAGATTTACTTTTTTGTTTTACTCAATTTTTTTTTATATTTATTTGAAAATAGTATGCATACCACTGATTTTACCATGAAAGGATATTTTTTTGAGTAATTCTTCATGTATTACTCAGTATTTAATAAGTACACTATTCTAGTAATTTAAAAATAACTAACTTGTTGCCTCATATCTAGGTTTAACATCATGTTTTATACTACGTTTGGTTACAAAATTATTTTTGGTATTAGAATAGCTGTTTTTTCTGTGCTAGAAATAGTGTTGGTTACTCAATATGATACAAAGTTTATGTTCAAACTTCGAGTAGGCTCTTATAATTTTAATGATAGTATAGACTTAAATTTTATAAATTTAATTTACTAAAAAATTAGCTTTATACTATCTTCATGCTTGTTTAATATTTTATCTGAATTATAAATTACTCTAAAACCTATATGCTATTACTTGTGTAAACTATAACCAGTAGGCGAGAATATGTTTGGTATAAAATATGAATATTTTTCAACATATTTGTATTAAATGTAACATTGTGTTTGATCTCATAATTAAACATTTTAGATGTTAGTAAATTAAATGGAGATCTAAATATTATCGTACTATATTTATTATCAAAAACTAAAATGTAAGGGTTACTTAATTTAGTAGTAATTTAATTATTATTTACTTGTTTTCAGATACACGTATCTAAGCAAACTGTATTCCAAACATTAATTATTGTGAATCTCTATAATTAGTTTTACAAAAAAAGTATTTGGCTAAGCAATATTTTAAGCAAATAAATAATTATCGCCTAGTAAATTACCTTTACGTTGACGCTATTTAATAATTAGTTAAAACAAAACTTGTTTGATTAGTGAAGTATAGTCGAACAATAGTTTATCTGATTTTTAATTTAGTTTCAAACATAAAACTTGAACATAAAATTTAAATATTATCTACAATAATGTGTTTCTGTTCTACATAATAACAGATAATGTACAACATACTACAAATGGCATAAATATGAAATAATTATATTGCCCATTTAACCAACAGCCTTTTTTTTTTTTTTAATTTTACCATAAAGGAACAATAATCACTACAAGTATTGACCAAACATAACTGATGGATAAACTGATGAACTGAACAGATAAAAATAGAGTAATTTCTAAATGTATTTCATATTGAACGTAATTACGAATGCCATTATAAATGTATCAGTTAATTATAACTTAGCGTATCATTAAGGGATTTAAAGTGTACGATAAAAAAACTTTTAATTCTACTAATTAATCGTCAATTATTTTTATTATTAATTGTTGGCCACCTCTAGGTTAAATTTTATCATTTAATAATAAGTTATTAAAAATGTTCAAACATTTATTTCATCGACCATTTTATAAATAAATCATTAACGCAAATACTAATAATAAAAATAATATAAAGCATGTTTTAGTTGTAGTCCATTGAGATGTTGGAAAACTTTTAACAAATCAGGGGTCTCGTCTTAGGCCAATGCGAACCAATAAGTCATTAATGACAAGACCATGGGGGTAGGTGTATAAATTATTTTAATTGTTAGAGAGGGAGGATTTTGTATGATTTCGCACACTGGCACATGTGTTTCAAAAGTGAACAAAGATTTTAGAACATGATTTTCCATGCCAGTGTTATTTATCGAATTCTCGCCTAAGAGCCCAACTCCAAACAACACGATTTTTTATGATCGATAAAATGCTTATTCTCAAGAAGTCATCGTAATTCTTCCCCCTTCGGTAAGAGGATTTAGAGGAGGGGTGATTTTGTAATCTCTTATAGCAACCCGTATAATAAATATAATAGATATGCATGTTAAGTTTTTTTCGGTTTTTTCGAGTAAAATAGAATACGATTGAAGTTTATAATATCATTTCAAAGGGCCGTAGCGCTTAAACATTTTTTTTTTTTTTCAAATGTTATTTCTACAATAACTGTAAAGCATTTTAACGACTATTTTTAACTATTTAATTAGATAGGTTGTTTTTTTTTTTACATTTTTTATAAATAAGTATTAACGTTTGTATTAATCGAAATAATTTTGCAGACTGAAACGCCAAAAGAGT